GTGCTGCTCCATAAATGGACTGAACCTAACTCTTTCTCTCTGCTGACAGCTTAATCATTGGGTCCAACCTCAGTGACATCAAAGCTTTCCTCAGGATAGTTTGCAGTGGGTATGCTTAGACCCACTTTTACAGTATTAGATCTCAAAACACCTGGTCAGGAATACTATCCCAGTTCAACAGTCAATTGGGAAGTGAGGGCCAAGAGAGACAGAAACGAACTATCTTATCTAAAGTCACAGTCTGTGGAAAAGCTCAGTCTGGGCTCCTCTCCTAAAACGTGCAGATAGCAATGCTCTTGTTCTGCGGAGCTGCTTCCCCGATTAGCAGCAACGGCAGCAGGCTTATCGTGCCGCATGCTGCTCCGGTGCCTGCTCCATCCGAGCCTCTCCTCGGGAATGGTGTCATGGGAGCATTCAGTAGCAAATAAGGCTTAACCAACTACCTTCAGGTTTACCTCATGCTAAAACTTTTGCAGAGATCCCCCCCCCCACCTCCCCATTTCTTTCTTTTCATCTTGATTTCATTTATTACGACTTGAGATATGGGCATAGGTAATGGCAGAAAATCGCACATGAGAGCACAGAGACAGAAAAATGCAAATGATTTCATTCATATTTACAGCAAAATTTATGACAGAAAATTTTATGACAGTGCAATAGTAAAGCATTTGAATTAGAAACTGAAGAGCATCAGCTAAGTCTTCTGTTCTTATTTATGCTTTAACAACTGTTATTGCTTATTCTGGAAACTGAATGAATAACCAGAAACCAGTTATTAATCTGATTAGTTTGAAACTGATTCATTTATTAATCTGATTCATTTAGTGTGTGTGCAAGTGTGCACATGTGTATGTGTGTATGCTAGAAATAGTGAAAAAGCTTCCATCGATTTGGAGTTATTCTCATCTTTGTCAGCTGTGAAGACGCACTTGAAAGCAGGCTGTTAGAGAATGCAACTGTGTTTCGAAGAGTGCTCAGATCTGTTCACAAGCATGAATTACACTTACTTAGTTTGGATGTTTTCCATGTTTTAAAATTCTATTTGCTGAAAAGTCATTAATATCTAATATTTTATCTTACTATGGTAGAAGTAGTAGTGTAATCTAAGACAAACATGCTCAGAGAAAGAATGATTCCAATAACACAGTGACATGCACTGCCTCCGGGGCAGGTGGGAAAATATGGCTAACTGAGATGTTAAATCCTGCTCACTTTTTTGATTTTCAATTACCTACATCAAGATAGCTGCAGAAAAAGCTGCACCGGAAACTTCTAGGTGTCTCTGGGTGATTCAGTTACTTTGGCCATCACAAATGTTTTCTTACCACAAAGAGAAATGGAAGCAAGCAGTGATGCAGATACCTAATTACTGGAATACATTATTTGGGGAGAGTATGGATTCTCTTCACTGATGTTGTAAAAAACGAGTTAGACAAGCACTGCTCAGGAGTCATTTATGCAGAACTGATCCTGTCCTAGCGCAGAAAAAGAAGGATTATGTGCCCTCTTAAGATCCTTTTAATCCTTGTTTCCAATGTCTGCATTTGAATTTAGATGACTAACCAGTGCATGTAATTTAAGCTAGTTTCTGTATGTTCTTAGGTTATTTACTATTAAAACATGTCTTCTCACCATCATGCAGGGACTTCTGTTACAGTCCAGGCCCCGTATTTCCTTCAGGCAACACATTTCTGTGTAGCTTTCTTCAGAGTATGTTTATATTACATCTTTCTACTTGTTCTTTGTATAAACATAATGAACACCCATACTTCCTCAGGTTCCCTGCCAAAACTATTTTTCCTGCTTAGCGCATGAGGTGCTTGTAATTTCACTACCACAGTAGCTCATGATGCTTCTATGAGTAGTGATGCAGAAACGGCTCTGCTTAGGGAGGTTGCATCCCAGCAGGCAGCTAAGGGAGAGAAAAATAACATCTGGAAACCATTTTTCACCAGTAACCCTAAGCAGCTCATTTGAATCCCGTTTTGTTTTTTTTTTTTTCCCGGGATAAACAACTTTTTGCCTTTGAGAATACTTGCCACCACTGAACTTCAGATAGAAAAAAGGAGCACCTAGGTCTTCAGCATGCTGTTTGAGGTGCAGGTTCACTTAGGTGGTGACTGGGCATTGCATGAGAATCTGTCACTTTGCTGTGACAGATACCACTGCGATAGATACCCCTTCTGCGGTATCGGTCCTGGCTGAGGTGAGAACAGCAGAAGCTGGACACGAGTGCACACAGGCTTAAGTACAGATCACGGCTGCCATGCTGGGACATGCAGCGTCCTGGGCTTTCCAGACACGGCTGCTGCAGTAGGACACGTAAAGTCCTCGGCTCTCCAGCAGACACGGCTGGGACATGCAGCGTCCTGGGCTCTCCAGACACGGCTGCTG